ATTTTCTAGAAATTATTCTTCTGAGTGGACTACAGAGTGTGATGCCTGTCTATACTCACGATATTCCTATTTATATAATGTGTTTGTATTGTTGTTTTTTTACCGTAAGTGGCCCATCTTTTCAAATTCTAGGACACATTTTCAGAATGAACCCGAGATAGGTTGTTCCTTTAGCAAAGAGCTTAATTTGGGTTGGAGATATAACCGAAAACATTAACGAATGGGAAGTTAGTTCTAGAAAAATGGAAATTGGTTCCTTTTATTTCCTGAAAATGTCAAGCATTTTATTGAGTTTAGAACTGAGCAAAGATTTAAATTTTTCCTCACGGACAGTTTAGAGAAATGACTGTGAATGAACTTACGTTGTTTGTACTCTCTACGTGATGCTGTGCCCTTTGTTTTCTAAGGAAGGATGTCACTTACAGCCATACCCAATAAAACAAAAACTGTCAAGGCATGTCTTTCAGCACATCTTTTATACATGAAGAAATTAAACACAATTTAGTACTGCAACAATGTTGAAATACATGAGAAAAGATGTCCCATGTACAAGAGTCTGTTAATAAATTATACTTGATTCTTAATCCTTAACAACTTTTTAATATAATCATAAGTTGCCAATATTTACTGAGCTGTACTATCTTACCTGGGTTTAACCATACCAACCCTATTTTACAAAGAGGGAAATTAAGGATTAGAGAAGCAGAATCAAGAGCTTCAAAATACACTGCCAGATGGACTGAACAGGACTTTTTAAAGTCAACTTACCTTTTCATTATGTGATTGAAAGAGTTCTGTATCTAAGACAGTGTAAAAATAATTTTAAAGGGAAAGTTGTCCACAATTTACCTCTCAAACATGTCTGTGTGCTTCACATCTCTTTTCCTGAGGAAAGGCCCACTGAAACAACCTTTCTGAAAACTTGAAATTCTTTCCCGCCATCCTCAGTGCAAGTAGACTGCAGCTACCCTTCCATCCTTCCACAAGCATTTTCACATTTCAAGTCATCCAAATATCAAATATGTTCTCCCTAGGAAATAACAGAATTTGTTCATCTTTCTCCATGACTTCACCTTTGAAACTAACTCAAATGACACTGAGTCAAATGAGGGTTCATGGCCTAGGTCCAGAAGCTATACCAACAGCAGCGAACTGAAGCCAATGAAGAACTGAAACTCGTAAGGTCTGGACACCAACGAATGCCAGTTTCCTATGTCTAAGATCTTGCCCCCAAAGAGACACTAGGGAGACGATGCATGCATAATTTTTTAAAGCCATTTTTAAGGAAGAAATGTTTAGGACGTTAAGAGGTGGGGGAGAGGTGCCTTGCATCCTCGCTCAGCATCCACTTGCTAGAATCATACGCACTTGGGCAGAGCAATCGGAAGGGCTTTGCTGGGAGTGCTAGTTCTGCTAGCTCTAGTGCTCATGTTGCTTTGAGCTCTGGAACCCTGAGAAAAACCAAGATCCCACTATAAAAGGTCTAAAACCACAACATTAAACAAGATTCCAAAGTGCTACTGACTTTTTGAAATTCATTTATAGTCATTATATTAACAAAGCCTTTATAGGTGAGAGATGGGTTTTGGTAAATTTAGCCTCAACGTAGCCCTTCCCTGACTTTCAGTCAATTCGTTTGCTCATTCATCCTGCATTTATTGTACATGTACAAGAGGACAAACCCTGTTTTAAGCAAAGAAAAATAAGTGAGATGTAGTCCTTGTTCTCAAGAAACATAGTCACATTCATTGTGCAAACGTACAACTGAATTAATGCCACTCATATTTGACAAGATGGAGCATCAGAGAAAAAATCTTTTCTGTGATCTTAGTCAACATTCTGTATCTGGTGGACATGCTGTTCTTTATTCTACATTCAAACACCACCAATGCCTCTTTTACTTTTAACTTTATTTGGCAAAGCAGCACTGCATAAACTGTTCAGTAACTAAGACACAGCTTACACAGCATGTTCAATTCATACATTATCAGCAGCAAGTTAGAAACAAGAAATAAAACTAAGCTACAAGTCTAATATAATTTTAAAGAAAGGAGA